TATATATATATATAATATGAAGTTGGGTTTGGGAAGAGAGTGAGGTGGCCTTGTTTTCAGGTAGGAACTGTTGTTTGATTTTTTGAAATAATTGTATTTATTTGTTTGAGTTTAAACTAATTGTAATAGCTTTAAGCTGCCGTTGGAATTTGCAGCAACAATCATGTTTGATTTGGTCCTCCAGCAAACACTAGATACAAATTGTGCATTATCATCAACAGTTTCTTGTCCGGTAATTGGATCAATGGAACCAAATTTGTGCATGGTAATAGGCATTGGAAGAGCTTTGTGGTAAGCATAAACCTGCATAAAAATAAAAATGCATTAGTAAGGAATTGACTAAACCCTAAACAGGTAAAAATATGAGATTCAAATTTCATCCAATTCACTCTTAAGGATTGGGAGCAATACCATTCAAATTTTGTTAATAAGTGACAAATGATACCATGTATTTATATGGTGTCATTTTAATTTTAAAATTTATAAAAAAATTCTGTGACTAAAATGATATTCTTAACAACTCTGAGATTAAAATGACTCTCGGACTGTTTTCACTTTTCTCTTTCTCAAAACCACTTTTAGTTAGGAAAACTTGATTTGAGTGGTTAGAAGAGAATTGGATGCTCGAGATTGGTGACTGAAAAAAGCACAATCAACGATGGTAATTAGAGAAAATTTGAATCCTTCAGTGCGACGAATTAAGCTATAAGTCCGAAGAGTAGTGAAAAAGTTAAGCAAAACAATGCCAAATGTAGCCGAATGAGTGTAGCATAAAAAACATTGATCCCATACATAATGGCAGATAGGCAGAATTTTGAATCTCAATACACAGTAAACAAAAGGCTCAGCTAAAACTCAGGAATGGCGGACTGTAAGTCCAATATTAATAAACTTACTTCATTTGTCTCTGAACCACATGCTATGTATCCATCTAAAACTGTTAAACCTACAAAATTCTGCAGATGCAGCAACCAAAGATCATATCAATTAATTCAAAATGGATTAAGCACAAGGTGTTAGAAAAGCAAAAATGAAAGGGGCGTTTACATACATACCACCTAATTTCTATGTATTTACATATCTAACAACTAAACTTTACGTTTTAAATCTATACCATCCAAATCTCTCTTATCACATAAAAAATATCACTATTTTTAACTTTTAAAAATGAAATACACCTTTTCATGTATAGACACGATGGCATATATGTATGTAAAAATTGATGTTTAGGTGTTAAGAAATGTAAATACATATGAATTGAGTGGTATGTATGTAAATCTTCCAAAAAATTAAAATGGACTTGTAGAACCTTCTCATTGGTATGACCACTAAAGGTCAGACTGCAAGCATTAGTGGAAAGGCCGCTTGCACTCGATTTGCTCAGATCCCATAACTTGAGGGTGTTATCAGTTGAGGCAGATACAAGGGTTTGTGAGTCCACAAATTTCACGTAACTAACAGCCTTTCCATGTCCAGATAAAGTGCACCAAGGACTTCTTGTATTCCGCAGATCATAACAGTATATCTTATAATCAGCAGAGCCGAAGGTCAATAAATGGGATGAATGAGGGGAGAATTGAACACAGCACACATTCGCCACGTTCTTAATTGTATCAATGCAATGTCTCTGCAGCAAACGGAAATGATATCCAGCAATGGAAAATAAATCAGTTCTTTTAAAATATATATATAAGAAAACAAGGGGCATTTACATACATACCCACCCAATTCCTATTTATTTACATATATAATACATACTTTACTTTGTACATTTATACAACCCAAATCTTTCATATCACATAAAAAATACCACCATTTTAAGTTTTAAAATGTAAAATACACCTTTTCATGCATAGATAAGGTTGCATCTATGTAAAAATTGAGGTATAGGTGTTAGATAACTAAATACATAGAAATTGAGTGGTACGTAGGTAAATCTTCCAAAAAACAAACTATGAACTTAGTAAGATGATTTAATTTACATATAGGCATTTAGATCGATAAGCTACTGAACCCGAAAAGCTAGTGCCAATTATTACAATAAATTTCCCAGCAATTCAATTATGAATAATTATATCCAGACTAGAGAGGTAAGAGCAAGGCAACAATGGCAAGAAAAAAAAAAATCAAGTAGAGGACCAAGAAGTTGACAAACAATAATTGAAAAAGAAAATAAGTTGCTCCAGGAACAAGACAACAAACCGAAGTGCCAGAAAGTGCCAGAAACTTGTAGAATAATTGACAAAAGTAAAGCTTCAGGCACAGCTGCTTTGTTTCATGAACTCGCCTGTAATAGTTATCAGCACATTTTTTAAAGATACTTTGAAGAAAATGCAGCCTACTTGTGACATCCTGAGTGATCAAGTTCTTGCCAAAATCATTTGAGTGCTTGATCGATAATAGCTTGAGTAAAACAAGGTTGAAAACAAGGCCAAATTCATAGCACTGTAATTATCTAAACAAATGGTAATTTCTCATGATTGGATACCTCTGCTCAACACCTTGTAGATTTTGTTAAAATAATAAATCAATCATTGCTTATTTTTATTTTCTCCGATTAATACTGAGTCGGCAACTTCTTGCCAACTGTAAAATATAAAAACAAGTTCACTCCTGATTGTGGATTTTGAAAAAATGGTGATGAGGCTAAGCGCCACTTCAACGGTTAAAAAGTATTCTCGAACTTTTACACTCCATGATAAATGTTTGTTGCTCCTTGGCATTTTGAAAAATTACGAGCACTTTTTCCTGACTTTGAAATGAGGCGTCTTAACTATTTCAACGTAACAAAAGCCTCCTTTAGATCAATATAAAGTTCAATATTTCTTCTTTTATGTCCTTTGAAAAATAATTTACTATTCTTTGATGAACAATATCTATATTTTTCAAATAAAATGTATTAGGTTATAGTAATGTAAGGCATTTCCCGTAATGAATGTTCACAGAGTCAGCATGATAAATTTTAAATTTAATGATACCCAGCGAATGCATCAAGAAAACATGTAATAGAAAAGCTAACTGTAACAAAGGAAAAAGCATCAAATCTTGGATATATAAACTATCTTACGGAAAATCAAGTTCAAATTAGTAAGGCCGATGCACATCATCTATTTGCTGTTCAATTTCTATGCATTACCACACTAGGTTATTGCACTTTTTTTATGAATTTCACATTTAAGAGCCTTAGAAACTCATAACGAATGCCTCAACTAGCATTGCCACAACTAGCCTGATCTTCTACTTAATTGGCCTGATATTTTTATCAACATTTAGTTTGTGATGAACAATATTGATATCGTCACCTAGCATGTTAACTATCCATTAAGCAAAACTTCCACACTTTCCTCTAAATACTACCTAACATGCCCTTGCATTTTTCATTGAAAAAAGAGCTCATCTGAAAGGTTCGAATTTGATCTTCACAGCTAGCACTTGTCTATCATATCAGAAGTTTCGAGTCCAAACCCTCTTTAAAACTCAAGCTTAAAATCTTTTCTTCAATGTTTTTCATACACTTCAAATAACACGCCATTAACTATGGTAAAATTAACTCTCAACGTAACCACTTCACCTCCTGTCAATTTTTTTACAGCAACATGGCTTGTAGAAATGACTACCGTGAAAGTATTTAGAAGTAGTCGACCAAAAGGTGATATTATGAGGCATTGAGCCGTTAACCATAATGAAGTCGGTCGTTGCTATAAATTATCTTTTTTACACTTCATGTTGCCAATAACGTAATCATATTTTTAGCTTCTCTTTTTTTTTTGTTTAAATTTATAAACAAGCCAAGTACTAAATTCATCTTCTAAAAAGTACTTGTGAAAATAGTATTTATCAAACTCCTCATGTCAGTCATAATGTGATTAATTTAATAGTTAGCAATCAAGATAGTCGCCACAACAGAATCATTATAAAGGTTCCCATTTCCTGGTAAAGCTGCTTAAAAAAATGTAATCATTATAAAGGTTCCCATTTCCTGGTCAAGCTGCTTCAAAAAATGTGATAGTGATACCGTTCGGGGCCTTGCAAGAATATTTAAAGGGGAAGTAGTTGTGGAATAGCTAGGGAATGAAAATATGTGAGGTCAATGGTGTTTGGAGGCGGGGATGAGATAAAACCCACTGTTGGACGGCTGTTGGGTTAGTTAAGCAGTTGTGTGGATTGAAAACAGCAGCCAAAAAACGTGAAGGCATGGTGCGGACGTCGCGGGGGATCGACCACCTATTCCTAGGCAAGATACAGACACCACTTGCAAAAGAAAGAGGAAACAACACTCCTAAAAGAGGAAATTGGAAATTAGAATCTCCGCAATACTAAAAAAAGCATAAGTCTCTCAATTCATAAAATAAAAAAACTGAAAAATCCAAGCAGCACAATACATATATCTAAAGGTCTCCAAATATGAAATACCAAATTAAAAACTAGAGATATATGTAAGAACCAAAAAGAAAGGAAGTAAAGGAAGGAAACTTCTTAGAAATAAAGAAAGAAAATGCAACAACAAGGCTTTATCCTACTAAGTGGGGTTGGTTATATGAATCCTTTTCTCCATTGTGTCCTACTGAGTATCATATTTTCATTTAATTTTAATAAATTAAGATCATTATTTAAACAACATGCCCAAGTATTTGTAGGTCTACCTCAGCCTTTCTTAACATAAGTCAAATCTAAAACATTTACACTCCTTACAGAGCTATCAGTCAACGTTTAACATGACCAAACCATCTAAGGTTACTCTAATCTTGTATGTCATTGGAGCTGCTCCACCCCTTGCATGAATATATTTGTTTCACATTTTGTCTCTAAGCGTAAAGCCATCACATTTTGTCTCTAAGCGTAAAGCCACTCATCCTCCCGAGCATTCTCAAAGCCACTCATCCTCCCGAGCATTCTCAATAAAGCCAAGACTTCCGTGATCACAATATTCCCGTGATCCCGCATTCTACGGAATTCCACAATACCGCATATGTGGTAAAGACGTTTCTGCTTCATTCTTCATGAGTAGGAGAGGCATCTTCTTCTTCTCTGGAAAACCTATATACCACAGTTTGATATTATTACCCATGAAACACTTGTAGAGATGTCCAAAGTAGCAGATCACCGCTCTTATCTAACAATCTATTCATGATGAACTGAACTAAAATTTAGTATTCAATTTACTCTATAGGTCTTTCCAGAAATAACTCAGTAACTCCCCAGCTCTATCTGAAATGATGAGATGATGAACCACTCTTAGCGGGGACTGTTTTTGAGTTTGTTATCGGTCTCTCAAATGCATTGCTTTCTTAGGCAACTAATACTAGTCATTTTGGTGCTTCTCTCAAGGCATGCATAAAGATATTCATGTCGCATCTTCAAATACCTTGGACTCCTTCCAAGAAAAGAGTATAATGTGATTCTCATCTTTAGTGAAAGAATGTGTTTTTGTAGCAATCATGATACGTGCAATGATCATATTGCTAAGGACTACCCAGTAGAACTTGACACGCATCCATAGGTATCACGTCACACCACACTTGCTTTTGAAACTTATCTCTGATATAAAGCTCTACGAGACACCTAATATCAAAACTAATCTTACTCTTCTTCTTCAATCAGGTAAGGGAATATGGTTGAGAATGCTTCCAAGTAGTGAAACTCAATTTGTCCACCAGTTGTTTAGGCGACACATTTTTACAATTACCTCCAACTATAATAAGACTACACCCCTTTACACTAAAAATGGTACAAAATATATTATGCCTGAGCCATTGCTGACCACTCTCAGACAAGGTCTAGAAAACTCATCAAACCACAATCTTCTCATTGTCATCTGCATATAGTTAGTGCTCCTCTTTTGGCAACCATTTATTTTCCTCATATGGGTCTTCACCCTCTACCTCCTCCAATGCACCCAAAGCTCAAAGAAATATATCACCCTTTTATTTGGGCAATAAGACATAATGTGTCGAAAATCGTGACATTTGAAACACTTGTTGGTTTTTGACAAACTTGGGAGTGCTAGAGATTTGAACTTTGTCTCTGCTATGAATTAATTATTTCTCTAGGGGTAGGCTGCGATGCTCTATTGTGTGTACTCCTGCTGCTTGATCCTGGGATTGAACTGTGTTTGAAGGGTGGTGTGAATATGATAGTGCAATGCAGCCTTGCAATTAGGGTTTGAACATCTTTTAATGTCCAATATGGCTATAAATGTACCACATTGCCAATAAATGTTTTCAATCCCCTCAGATATCAAACTATGATATTCTCCTCATGCTTCACCAGCTCACAATTCAATATAAGCTCCTCGAACTCAGTTGTATACTCCTCTACGAAGAGAAATTGTTGTTGTAATTAAGGAATCCTCAAGAACAAGTTTTATCTATAATGTGTTACGAGATACTTGCATTGCATCTTCGTTTTTTATCTTATAGATCATGTTGTGATTTTGTTTTTTTTTCTCTCACAAAAGCAGACCTTTCAAAATTTCCCATCACAGAGGTGTGTTGTTTTTTTTAATTTAATGGTGACTAACTTTACCATTATGTCCGATGGAATATCTTTATATTCAAAGCCTCATTCAATTGTTAGGAATCACTCGAAGAATTCAGACACCATTATGTCCGATGGAATATCCTTATATTCAAAGCCTCATTCAATTGTTTGGAATCACTCGAAGAATTCGTCTGAATTCACATGACTATCAAAATCTGACGAGTCAATCTACACTCCAAAATTTTGGCTTCTACTATGCTAAATCATCGAGGGTTTTACATCACTGGAAACTGCCTGGTGGAAGGAGAAAAAAATTTGGGATCGTGGTGCTAGAAATCCTAGGATAGGACAAAGATTAGGCTAGCTCTAATAATAAATGATATCAGAATTAACTCAAATAATCAATAGGAAAGCAAATGTTATTACTTAGAGCAAATATGTGATTACAACCCAAGCACATTTGAAAAAGAAAACGACAACAGACATAACACAAAGATGCCCACAAAGGTGGAGCTCAGTGTGGCGGCGGTGGCCGTTAGGGATTTGGAAAGGTGGCGGTATGGTAGATGAGAGGCTGGACTGTGGGGGAAACAATGGTGGCTTGCTGTCCTGGAGGGCCGAAAGCAAGAAAGAGTGGAAAGAGCGAAAAGAGGAAGAGGACAGCAAGACCAGCGACTACACCTTGTTGTTTGGGTTGCAAAAGCGCATGGCAAGGAACGAGGGTCGATAGCAGCAGTTTGCTGTTTGGGGGTGACGGCAGCAAGCTAGAGGGGTTTTTGGGCGATTGTGAGAGTTGACAGATTGTAGGAATGGCTGGGACAGCAGCATAACGACAATAGCATGTAGTAGGGACGGCTGGGCAGCTGGAATGGACAAGGACAACAACTCCTCGCTGTCCGGAATGGCGGCAGCAAACCGAAACGGGGATGACAGTGGCTAGAAGATAGGAATGCTGCAAGGAAACAACAGCAGGCGGCTGTAGCAATGAAGGGCGGCCATAAGTGATGTGGGGAAGATGAGGAAAGGAATAGGGAAGATAAACACTACCTCAAGAGTGAGATACAGCCGAAGCATCACCCAAACACTCGGATACAACCCTCAATGAAAAAGAAGACGACAACAACAGTCTTGCACAAAACTCATGAAAGAAACTGACTCTCAAACCCTAATACATCATATAGAAAAGACTAAAAATGAATGGGTGATAATATGAAAAAAAAAACGTAAAAAGAAGGAAGCGGGACTTTCGACCCATCTACCGTTTCACTTGATCGCGCGGGAGTCACAGTTTGCGTTCCGCGTCTGAAGCAAGAGCACTCCCACATCAACCACTCCATCAATGTGGATTAACTACAAATTTTTCCTAATCTCCCTCTGAATTTTGTAAGAACAAACTTTTTAACTTTTCCTGCTTTGATAGGTTCCTCTATCAAATTACAAAGTTGTCAACAATCCACCATATCGTCCAAACAATCTTTGTGAAACATGCAATATTTTGGAAGGACTTTTGCATAGGAAACAGCCCTCATGGGAGGTGGTGTAACAATTTTTTTTTAATTTGGATGGCTTCCACTATTTAGCCATCAATATACACAACGGTGTGATGGCATGTTGTAGCGAGTAAATTGCAACTTCTCCCTTCTTCTACCATCATCAAGATTTTCATATTTGATTTGCCACTCCGAATGATGCTGTTGCTAGTGTTGATAATGTTGTTGTGCAAAAGCACAAGTTCTTTTCTATCCTAAAAAACCTCAAGCAACTTTGTTGATCATCGAAAAATCATTGAGCTTTTCTTCTATGAGCAAAATTCTCAGTCGACCTCAAGCCTATACATTTGACTCACAATTGTACTCTTTATTATTAAGATGACTTGGTGACATCCATAAAAGTAAAAAAAAAAAAAATTAGTTGTTACGAATCAATAATGTAGTGAAAAGGACTTCCCTCAAATCTTGAGTAAGTGCATCTTAAGTCAAAATCAACTCCAATCCTCCAACCTAATTATGAAGCTCCAGAGTAACTCGCATGACTTGCCTTACCATGAATCAGGCCTAAAAATTCTTCAAAGATCACCGGGCAGAATATTACCCCTTAAACAAATAAGCAAAAAAATCACCTGAACGGAAACTCTTTAAAAGTTGTAAAAAAAAAACCTGCACTTCAAAAATATGTTCAAACAGAAAATGATAGATTCAAAATAGATGAGATCCGACGGATCACTTTTTCCCATTTAAGAATCAAGCTTTCATGCGATAAATAAAATCATGATTCTTAATGTTCACAAAATTTTATCAGTTTTACAACTTTGAGCCTCTTAACGCATCTCTTCTGGTTCTTAAAATATTTAAGTGAGGACTGCATCTTCAATAATGTTGAATCCCAAATTATTCTTGGATTATATAAGAATCTTACTCGCATTTACAACAAAAAAAAAATGAGAAAATAAGACAAAAGAACATTTATAGATTGGTAAAATATAGAATTTTCCTGGAGTTAGTTTTATTTAAAAGAAACAGTGTAACAAACTTTCCCAACAACCCCAGTGCTATAGAAAAAATTATAAATCGGGTTATAAAAGTACGAAAAACATATAAAAAGACACATTATTAGCTTGCTATAAATTACATATAATGTATAGCTTAATTTCATTAGAATTAAGTACTTTCACTTATAGCCGACTTTTTGAGAACAAGTTACGAATCTTCCTTAATTAAATCACCAGTTTGATGAGCAATTTCAGAACTAGGGTGAAAATGTCTAATACTGGATATACGCTAAAGCATTGACAAACATTCCATTATATTTTGATGAATTCACCATAAATTCGGCAAGTTCACTCTAACTTTAGCTTACTAGGGTGAGCACATATCAGTATATGCAAATTTATGCTAATTTGATGTCAATCTGGTCAAGTTCATGCTGTTGAACTTTCAGGATATTTAGATGTCCAATATATATTGGAAATTTTTAAAATATGAAAAGAATACCTCTTTAATAGTCCAAAGCTTCACAGAACAATCATCACTCCCACTAGCCAAAATAGTTGGATCCAGTGGAGAGAAATCAACAGACCACGCTCTCTTCTCATGCTCCACATACTGCGTAAACCCTTGACCGGTGCTTGCATCCCATAACTGTTTTGCATCAAAGCCAACTGAATTATAATAATTTGCAAAGCATATCTAATAATGAAAAAAAAATGCAAATAATTTGGTAATGCAAATTATAATTGAATGCAAATATAGTTTATCAATGGCTGGCGTTTAAAATTATAATTGAAGCTCATAATTGTAAAAAAGCATGCCAATGTTAATAAAGCACCTGCGAAAATAATTTGGTAATGCAAACATAAAAAAAGATTCCTGCCTTACAAAAAAAACAAAATAATAATAACAATAGAAACATGCAGAAATAGTTGAAACTTCCATACGACTAAACGTCCACCACTCGAGTGAGTTTGCTGCTGGATTCATAAATACTACTAACAGGAAGATCAACAAGAAATGCTCTTTTCTTTGAGGACAAACGAGTGACAAGGGTGAAGAAAGAATATTCAAACGTTTTAACTGATCTTCTAATGGTATATAATAGAGAATCAATAGCCTAATTTTCTGATGGTTAAAAATACATGTATGAAGGGGTATAATGATAATATTATGTTTTAGTAGCTAGCGCTGCTGCTTATTCAGGAATTTTAGGGGATTCAGTTCTTGCCATAAGCTTTGGATTCAATAATTAAGGCTCTATCTGGCCTTCTTGCCCTTCATTTCTCTGTGCTGCAAGTCATAGCGCTGTGCCAATGAATAAAGTAAATGACTGTAAAATCATATAAAAATTGTTGCCTAAAAGGTTGTAAGAGTTGTGATTATATGGGAAAAAAGCCACAACATAGAAGTTGATAAAAATATTAAAATTAAAATTAAATTTTAAATTACTTAAAAAAGAAATAAAAAAATGAAGTAGAAAGAAAAGCTAACATTCATAGAAGCATTTTCCTAAGAAACTATCTGAAGTATCGTTCCAGGAAACTTGATTTTCAACTCTCAAGCTATTGAGGGAAGGAAGATCTATGCATCATATTTAATAGTTGGGGCCTCTTCTTTTTAATAAGGGAACCAAATACAACATCCTAAATGAATATATATAATCCATTAACTAAAAGTAGAGAAAACTTTCTTTATGTTTCTAGCTCATAATATTTAATACATATATTTACCAAGGTAGTAAACCCACTAAAATTTTTAAAGCTATGTAATAAGCTGGAGCTAATTGATAGCACTACATCTTGAATAATATGACATTCAACCTCAATATATTTAGTCCTTTCTTGGAATACGATATTTTAACAATATAAATAATAGCATTAATGTCATAATTTAGAAACATAGGTTGTATGGTTGAAAGTCAACTCACCTTAAGAAAAGTTCCCTTAAGAAGGTCTTAACCCAACATTATGTCGCATGTAGAGTGTCATAACTCTGTAAATACATCATTAAGAACACCACATCTTAAATGAAGTGCCACTCAAGCTTAATGATGTATTCATTTCATTTCTTTCATGGAACGCATAATTATTGACACTGTAGATGATAGCATGATTGCCACAATTTAAAATCATGGATTATGCGGTTGAAATATCAAATTCCTCCAGGAGCATCTTGACCCACTTAATTTCACATGTACTTGTTCTTTGAACTTAATATCGCCGCTATTATTTGTTCTTTATTTTTCCACATGACCAAATTACCTCCAATAAAAATGTGGTACACATATTTGAAATTTTCACCACCCATTAAATCAACATAATTAGTATGAACAGAGCCTCTCACATTTAAAGGTTCATTTTCAGAGTACAGTTATCCTTTGTCCTATGACTTCTCGATATACCTAAGGATATACACATTGCTTCCAAATAGTTTCACAAAGGAGTTTAAGTGTTGACTCACAACTTCTATAACATAGAGCATATTTGGTTAAGTGATAAGCAAGATCTATCAATAAACCAATCAACCTACGATAGAAAGATACATCCTAAAAAAAATTGCTCTTTATTAGAAACTTTCAAAGTATTGAATTGAGTGTTGGTAGATTTGCACCGTCATCTCTTAGAATAAAAAAAAAAAAAGCTCATGAGACTAAGGTACATATGTGAAAGAAAAACTATGCAAAAATGTCAATTGATTTTTTTTCCCTCAAATCACATCCAGTTTTATTTTTGCAAATATTGTTAGCTTCGATGAAATAAAAAGAGCCATTGAAAAGTATAGGAAATAGCACATTCAAATATAATTTTATTCGGAATAATTTTATAATATTTTTTAAATGTTAAAGACCCCTATTTTATAAAATAAAACCTAATAAAATTCCCCATACATTAAAAAGAAAAGAGGAGAGCCAGACAATAAATTCAGTAAAAACCAAACCACATCTTGTGACTCCATGACTCTATAAAAGTCATAATACGTGCACAGTAACTCAAAAGAGAAATGTAGAAAAGGAAGCACTAAATCAATTCTCCTATTTATATAAGGAGAAAACTACTGTAAAAAATCTTCAAAACCCCTCACTTGATCAAGTAAACATTGAAAAGTATAAGAACCAACATATTCAATAAATTTATTCATAATAATTTCAATGACTTATTTTCATGTTAAAGACCCCTAATTTACAAAATAAAACCTCCTAACATGTCTCATACATTCAAAAAACCAAAAGAGAGCCGGATGCTAATTTCATTAAAAACCAAACCACAACTTGTGACTCCATAAAAGACATAATAGTTGAACAAATCTCCACAAAATTAAATCGAAATCAAGTTTTTCCTGATTGCAACAAAAGGAAACCACACAAGAAGTTCCACAAATTTATTGAAATAGAAGGTAATTGAAGGTGGAGAACAGGTTGAAGTAGCCTTACATGCCATGTAATCGTCCCAAAACAAAAATGATTGGTGAAAATAAATAATTTCATAGTCTAGTAGAATGCTTGTCAGATGGTAAAATTTGCCAAAAATGTAAAACAAGGTGCGAAATAAACAAGTAACAAGCCATATAAGTAGTCAGAACGATAGACAAAAACTCAAGTAAATTGGTGAATAAAAGTAAAGGAAAGAAATATATCTATCAGTTAACTAACCTCCAAATAATAATCAACATCATCACTATTAATAGCCTTTTTATATTATACCTTATCCCAACTATATATAAAGTTAGCTTTACAAATTATCTTACATGATTTATTCATGCTGAATACAAAATATGGAAAATCTAATAAGCATTTTAACAATCAATGCGAAACTGCAAAAATAGCCGCCCACCCTGATCCATCACTGAGAATCTGTGGGCCTTAAGGAACAAAAGTACCTCCCAAAATTTCAAGAAAATAATTGTATACAAATTGCAAACAAGCCTACTTTATTTTAGATGCAATCAGTAGTTTCCAAATATTAAAATTATTGATTATAAATCAAGAATTATGTCGTATAAATCATCCAAATATACATAAAATTCAAATCATTTCTACTCTCTTCATGCTATTAGATTTCTAAAAAAAAATCCGGTGTTTATTTGCAGTTTTTCATTAGTTCAAAATCCTCTATCCCCTGTTTTCCCCCCCCCCCCCCCCCAACTGGCACAGGTCTCCTTGCACCACTTGCCCCCTCCCTAAACTCTGCCTCCCCTCACCTACAATTGACACAGCAAGTCACCTACTCCATTGAAAGAAAAACATTTTTTTTTTCTTTAAAAAACATCTATATCTAAACTTGTTAACCAATCAAATGATTCTAATATAAAACTATCATGCATGAGTATTAAAATCTTCAATATTCATTTACATTGAACGAAAGAAATATTTGGACCGAGATTATAAAATCTTAAAGAAAAAGTTGGGCCATCTTATTTGCACCATGACTGGTGAAAAAAATCTAGATTTTGACATGAAATGTAGAAAATTCATCAATTGAGTCCTGAATATATGAAATTCAATGATATCAGAAGTTAGTGGAACCCACATGTTCTTGATCACAGCTAAAATATTTGTGAATGTCGCAAAGCTGTGAAAGGTGCACGAAGTATTGAACATGAAAGAGTATGCATTCAAATACTTTAAAAAACACCACCTTCCAACTTGAATAAATTTTCTACCGTTATAAGTGAAGAAGAGAGATGATGCGCATATCTAGGAAAATGAATTGCTGGCAAATTCTAATGTTAAATCGCCAAATGGCAGTACAAAACCAGAGCTGAGGACTATGATAGCAAAGAAAAATGGAAAACTTAAAAAAAAAAAAAAAGGATAGAGAATCCAAATAGCAAATACAACCAGCAGAATAATAGCGGTTGAAAAATAAAAAAATGGATGCATCATAATGAAAAGGGAAGCAAGAAAATTGTTTTCATTATTCACTCAAAATTTAAGGAAATGGTGATCGAATACCTAAAACTATAATTAAAATAACACACACACACACACACACACATATATATATATATATATATACATATACATATAAATATACATATACATACACATACATACATATATAATGAAGCGCTTATTTTCAATGCTATTTATGTGAAAAGGACTTTGCCGCTCCTGAGCAAAATATTGAGCTCAAAGGCTTTTAAGTGATGTAAGAGTTCAATAAACTTAATAATAAAAGGCACTATGCATGCACTTTGAACAACTTCTAATAACAATACTACTAGAGACTTCATACGAAGTAAACATCTCTAGTTGGAGCATTTACATACTATTGTATGCTAGAAAATTCACGAGACACCAAAATTTTTACCTAGAAAATCCCTAGAAAAAGAAAAAAAGATGGGGCCTTGCCCAGTTAAAATAATTCATTATATAATCAAGAATGCTTAATTAGGGAATATGAGATTATAAGTTGATATTGAAATCATATCAACTTGAAAATAACCCAACAAATATGACTATATAAGGATAGTTGAGCCTATAATTATTGTAACCTGCCTACAATTATGGCGACGAGCCTATAATAACCATAGTTGGCTATAGAAATTTTAGTTGCAAGAGACTATAATAGCCGTAGTTAGCTATAGAAGTTGTAGTTCTAGGAGGCTGAAATATCCATAGTAAAGCTACCAATATCGTAGTTGGTGGTGGTCGACAATGACCCCAATGGTCGACGGTGATTTTTTTTTTCCGATGATGACACTTGGTTGTCAAAAGCGAACTCCGATGGTTGAACTTGATCTCGATTGATAGATGACAACTGCCAGGACTTTAAAAGTTAAGTTTTAGCATTCAACTCACTATTATCATCTCCCCTTTCAAGTGAAAAATGGGGGCCTATTTATAGTTTTTGATATGAGCATTGTGGTAAATTTGGCAAACCTCCCAGCAAACTCCATCTAACCATCTGCGTTAATTTTCATGATCACTGGTTATTTTTTCAAATTTTAAATGGCTTAATGACATCAAAATTAAATGGTCTTGGGCTTGTGGGAAATTTTCATTGAGATGCTCAATTTGACAATAAAATTATTAAAATTGGAGCTTAAATGACCTTGAATTTGGAATGTTTCTTGCTCAAAATGCCTCAAAAATCATGTCTAATGATAAAAATTTGTTGATGACTTATGGTATACATACCACCCAATTTCTATGTATTGACATACCTAACACCTAAACTTTACTTTTTTATATTTATACCACACAAAAATATCACATAAAAAATACAACAATTTTAACATTTACAAAGTGAAATACATCTTTTCATGCATACGGTGGCATATATGTAAAAATTGAAACTTAGGTGTTAGATATGTAAATGCATTGGAATTATGCGGCATGTATGTAAATATTCCTTTCTAGTTTCATGGCTAAATTCATGATTATTTGGGATTAAACCTCTATTTATCAACTGCATCAAAAGCAATCATGACATGAAAGCGAAAAATGACAAGCGAGCAGATAGCATACAGACCTGTACAACACCGTCATAATCGGTTGATGCCAAGTAGTTCTTAATGTAATTATTCCAACTGACACAGCTGAGCTTTGACCGGTTGGACATTTCAATCAATGGATAGTGAACATCAACAGTCTCATTTGAAAGAGCCCCAAATTCAAATATCTTAATTTTCTTCGAAACCCCAGCAGTAGCGAAGTAGTCTTCATCACGGTCAAAGCTCAATGAACAGATAACATTTGCAGAATTAAGGATATCTACGTTTCTTAAACAGCCACGAACTTCAAATCTGCTGTATCGCGCATATTTGCATAAGCCTTCGAAAAAGGCACCAAGGAGGTCTGTTGACTCCTCCTTTATAACAGCATCATCCTCAAACTGATGGAAATTCTCACGAAATTTAAGGACGCCTATGTCAGATCGTGTTGTAGCATTAGTTTCAGAAAGCTTAATATTGCATCTCATGGAGAAGTATGCATGTTTGAGCTGATCAATATTCTTCATCAATCCTTCTTCATTTCCACTTGATACAGACCATGAAGGAGTTTTTCCAATCTGAATTGACGCTTCATGGGGATCCCTATCTGAGTTATGACAAGAGCTAGCCAGGACACCATTGGCATTAGAAATCAACTCAACTCTCGATACATATCGTTTCTCAACCTCCTCAATGTCTTTTTCTAGGCATTCAATATCCGCCGCCAACTTTGCAGCCTGTTTTTCATTTTGGTCCTTCAAAGATGAAAGAAACTGTAATAAAAGATCTGCTTCTGCATCTTCTTCATCAATAGATGCTGATGATCTATCAATAGCTGAAACATTGTTGCATTCAAATATTAAATTGCTTGACAAGATTTCCCTGAATGAACAAAATCATCAGGTTCTATGAGCAACAGAGCAAACATGATGGAGAACGTTATTACATCAAATAATTACAGAAAATATATTATTAATCTAGATTCTGACAAAGCTTTAGTCCTAACGCAAAAAATAATAACTTGCCCTAAAGGTAAAGGCATGCATGTACATGTTACGGGCATGTGCAAAAAACACACAGCCACACAGGTAGATGTATATATGGTGAAGGAAAGGTGAACAATAATGCTTGAAACGTGAAGCTAGAAGCCACCTACTCTACCAGCCAAGCGTAGTGGTTAAAACAAGGTCTAAACGGAAATGTTATTAAAAAAAATATTTAAAACAGTTTAAAGATTCAAGGAAAAATATGGTCTATTATTAGTGAAAAAAAATAATAAGTGAAGATGATTTTAGAAAACAAGGAAGGAATAAGGAGAGAAAAAGAGGGAATACCTAATTGATAATCTTATAAAGCATAAAATGAAACTTCTGAGATTTCTTTTAGTATTTCAACAAATAACACAGCAAAAGGGGTTTAACTAGCTTAGTTTAGCCAAAAAAATAATTGAGTATAGAAGTTGTCTTCCTTCTGTAGTGGTACTTGACATCTGAGCCTTCAGCAAATATAACATGGCATGGTTAAGAAAATAAATCAAGTCAGTGCAGTGCACATAAAAAAGCTGATAAGAGGTTTAAAAAAAAAAAAAACAACAACAACAACAACAATTTGATGTTGAATCAAGAGAACGCACATTACAGATGAGGAAAACTGAAGTGGATAAAAACTGCATAATTTGAGAGTGCACACAAAATGGCTTAAGACTTGGAAGTAGATTTCAAATGGAATAGTTATAAAATCAATGCAATCGATACTAAACTTATTTGTGGCAAGCAGCTGCTTCTCAGGTTTGATGTAGCTGGACTGACGAAAAAATTTATCACTTAACTTAGAGCATAATACTTTATAAGAGTCATATAAAAAATTAGTTAACTAAAATCATGAGACTAATGAAGTACATGACCAGCTTAATGGTTCCATCTCTTAGAGGATTCAATAACAGTGGTTAGGCTGCCTCCAAAGTGTTGATTAAAAGTTCGAGTGAGAAAATATTTCTTTAAAAATCGAGGATAACATCGACACCTTGCAAACCCCACATTTATTGGCAAAAGTTCATGCGCTGGTGCACCCCTGGTCCAAGCAGCCCCTCAAGAAAAATAATTTGAGAAAAATAAACAAGAATGATGGTGAAGATATGTTGGTTGGGTGAACCAAAACCAAACTTAAAAGTAACACGTGAATATGGGCAGAGAATTTAAAATTTTAATGGGGGACGCAACTTAATAATTTCAAAATTTGTCTCAATCTTTTTTATGCATACTTGGGAATAATATTATCAATTTTTTTGTTATAAATAAAATTGATAAAAATATGTTGACAAAAAAAAACATAAAAAAAAATATTATTTGATATAGTTGTGTTTACCAATACTATAATTATTTTATTATATAATATAACAAGAAATTTTTTTAATATTTTTTAAACTAAATATACTTAAAGACTTATGAATTTATTTAAATTCATATGCTACAGATACTTTTTTTTATAATACTATTAAATAATTATATTTTAAAAGGTATAAAAAAAAAACTTAATTCTTTTATTAAAATTGTAATGCACTAAATAAAGGCAAGTTAAAAGCTAGAATAAATTAAACTAAAAATAAAATTTACTTAAAGTAAAATGTAATTTAAAATTAATGTAAAATTGAATTTCTTCTTTATATTATCAACTACAAATATTTTAAAAATAATTTAAAAACCAAAAAAAAATGTTTTCATTTAAAGTTTTGAATGAGCTTGTTAAAACTCGGTATTGACTTAAGACCAAATATAAATTATCACTAAAAATATAATTTAGTTTAAATAAAATAACATTAAAATCTAAAATAGTTTTTATATTATTAACTTAAAAAGAATTAAATTTGCTCAAATTTTTCCAAAAAAATATAGATTTTTATTTAAAACAAACATATCCTGGGAGAAGCAAAACTAAAGTATATTAAAAAAAAGATAAAAAAACGTTCTTTGTTTGTTTATTGTAAATACATAGGTGTTCAATATATAAATATATAGGAATCGGGTGGTATGAATGTAAATGCTCATGTTGTTTAACGTGAAGCAGCTTGCATGCAGTTTATGTACCCTTTAGTCCCACATCGAAATATTGCCGATTATTTATGTTCTTTAAATTGAAAAACATAGCTAAGAAATAGTTGAGCCTCACGTCTTCTAAGTTTAAAAGGGTGCTTTATAGATTTTCATTATTAAGAAATAATTTTTAATAAGTTATATTAAAGTCCAATAAGTTAAGCTTCAAGAAAGCTCGGGCTCGAGCTGCCTTACTGGTTTAGCTTTATTGCATGAGACTGACATGTTAATTTTAATTTATTGGGCTGGACAGCGAGGCAAGCCCCCCAGAGTGACCCCATCATACCTCTGCCCATGCACCAAGGAAATGGTTCCACGAATCTTAGAACATCATCCAATGAAGCAATGACCTACCAAAATCATCCAAATCAACTGGTTTTGGTGCATTTCGGGTTTAATTCTTTGGCTTTTGGAGTTTAAAGAGACGCAAGGATGACAAAAACAAATAAACAAGTCTATGATAAATACATCAAGCATATCCTCTCTTGCTCGAGAAATATAGTTGGCTTGTAGATATGAGAGAGAAAAGCAAGCATGATATTACATTATGACACTTCATAAAACTCTCAACTTCAACCTAAGGTGGAGGTAATGATTGAATCATTGACATTTCGAAACTAAGCAAAACGATAAACAGTCCTTGCCACCTCATGAAATATCAACCAACATTAAAGAAAACAAAAAAAAAATGTACATTTGATTTGACAAAAAAAAATGTACATTTGATTTGGAAAAAAATGTTAGCTAGTAGCAACAAGTGAATTGAGCTTACAGGTTTTATGAGATAGTACAATCAACATAAAGAAAAATTCTAAATATACATTGCCATAATTTAAGGAAAAAAAAGGACAGCAAAGGAAGATAGAAAATGGTTCCCAATTATTATTTAAATTTAAACAATCTGAACATTAATCTGCTAAAACACATGAAATTCAATTTGTTCTCATAATTTTTCTTAAGACAAAAGAAACCTAGAAAAGTAGTGTCGCTTATCTGGTCATCTGCTAATTGTTCAACATAAAAGAAGGCTAAATTTACCTCATAACTATGAAAAGATGAAAAGCCATCAACATGGTAGGCATAAGAAATAAAGAATGAATTATAAACAAATTTTCTCCCAATTGAACAACTGTCAGCATTGCATACCAAACAAAATTAATTAGTTCCCAACATAGTTTAAGGACTTGCCTTGACTTTGGCCGAGAGGCATGATCAGGATGAAGCAACCAAAGACAGAAACCAGCCTCCTTGGGATATTCAGATAAAAAGTTTGGCGGAAGAATCCGGTGTCGGAGATTAGACATTGCAGCAACATGCACTTCTTCTATCTCAAAAGAGCAGAATAGCTGACAAAGTAGGAAGTATAATCAACAGCTGATGGGGCCCGCATCTTTCTGGTGCACTATATTCTAAATAAGCAAATATGCCTCCTTCCTTAAAACAATGAAAGAAGGCAAAAGTGGACAAAACAAAGAACCATACAATAACACTTCTCAGAAATCATGCAAAAGAAGTATATTGAGATTTAAATTTGCTTCAAGAAAGTCACATTAGCTTAGATTGTACATATGATTGAACTAGGATAGACAACATAATACAGTTCAGGCACACTAATAGAATTCTGAACTATGAGATGACCTTAGCCATTGCCTCGCTCAAACTTGGCTTGGTTACCATTAATTGAGCTGAAGCCAAGCTTGAACTTCTCTAAAGATTTCAAAGTCCAGTTCAATCTTTTTTGGTTTCTTTTATCAAGCTTGAATTAGATTCGACTTTCAAGCAAAACTGAAAATGTATGAGAGAAACAATTATATACAGATATCCTTACGTATTGAAAAAGGGTTTTAAAAGAATGCTAACAAGATGAATATAATTTGAGCTGCTAAACGAGCTATATATAATTTGAAAACTTATCAAACCAGCTTTTTGCACAAGTAATGAGAATTTTAATGAACTATGTAATGACCTGAGATATTCATTGCCACGCACAAACTCAGTTTAGTTACCGTTAATTGACCTTAAGCCAATTTTGAACTTATCTAAGGATTTCAAAATCATTTTGAATTTTGTTTGCTTCCTTTATCAATCTTAAGCCTCATTTAAAATAGAGTATGAATAAGATGGACTATCTTTATTCAGACATGCTTAGCAGTAACGGGTACTCATTCCTTTCAAGTTTAAATACTATGTTCCTCTAACCGTCTAAAGTCTAAAATCATATGTAAAGGCACAAATGAACTGATTCAGAGCTACATATAACCAGTTTGGCAAGGGAGACGTTACACTTATGCAGCTTTTAATATGCCCATTGTCAAGCACAGATAAACAGACAAGCTTATACAACCTACAAGAATGTTAAGACTAATATATCTTAAGCTACCAACCAATGAAAATAAACATCTTTTCAAACTTATATCAAACCAGCTTTTGAGAGAGTAATAAGCATATTAAACAAAGAAACCAATTTTCAAACTTGGTAGTTTTAAATTTCAGAACCTCAATAAATGCTTGTTCATTCAATAACAAAACGGCTAAGACCATGCTTTAAAACATTTTCAAGTATTAAAACGATTCGGTAACGCCTACGAGCAATTTTAAGAAAAATGCGAGGTTTGTGTTTCCATTGAAGTGAAAATGTGTTGTGTAATGAAAGTTGCACACCATGAGCTTTCAACAGTTCTGAATTGTAAAGCTCATAACAGAACAAGCACCAGTAAAATAAAAGGTTTGAAAAGGGAACTATAGTTAGCGTGGCTAGATTTGAAACAATCATCATGTTTAATACGATATTTCCTTCCCCGATAAGAAATTTGATGTAGCTAAGAGGCCAAGGATTAGGACTTGGTCCAACTCTAGGTTGAAACCAATTAATTTATGTTATTTAATCGTATCTCTTTAATTGGATTTGTATTCGAATTTTAAATTTATTTCTTTTTTATACTTTGCTTGAATTATCCATTTGGATAATCATAGGTCTGAATTTGAGTTAATTATGATTTTAGACAATCTAGATATGATAGTTACTTTTGAAATAAAATTTATTCCTATTTTCTTGGGTTAAGTACATAAATCTTATTTTTTAACGAAATGAAAAATTGCAATGCAATTCAATCTCTTCATTTCTCTCCTCTCCTCAAAATTCATTATTATCACCCTTCTTGTAAGCAATTGGCATAAGTTTGATATCAGAGTACAAATCATTGGTTCAAATCTCTAATGGTGCAATTGGCATCAAAGGAGGGAGGGGGAAAATGATAAACTTCTATCAAGTGCTATATTTAAGAAAAGTAACTATTTTTCTAATGAACATTGTTAAAAAAATGCATATGAATTTAGACAAAAACTAAGTGCTAATCTAGAAGACTTGACTCGCCTATGCTTTGAGCAAGTGTGCACAGGAAAACTAACAGCAGGCATGGCATTAGAAAACATCATTGTCATTCCAAATAAGCCCCAAGTTATACATAAAAATATTCAAGAAAATCCGATTAAAGAAAATTATAGAAACTATACAGCCCAAGCAACTATGGTACAGTTATCAAATAAAGAAAGGGGCATTTACATAACATACCATCAAATTCTTATATATAGACACATCTAACAACTAAACTCTACCTTTTACATTTATACCCCCCAAATCTTTCATATCCCATAAAAAATACCACTATTATAGCTTTTAAGAAGTGAATCATGCATAAGTAAGGTCACAAGTATGTAAAAATTGAAGTTTAAGAGTTAGATATGTCAATATATAGGAATTAAGTGGCGTGCACGTAAATCTTCCATAAGGAAACTTCCCATGCCCTAATTGCCCAACTATTGGTTCACACGTATAATAGTTGCAGATGTCCACTAAAAAAGACTACCAAATAACTTCAACAGCAAATGAATCATCAAGTATTTTCTTTCTTACCTCAAAGAACAAAACGCCAAGACTGTAGATATTTGAAGATAAAAGGCAAGCATCTATATCCAGCTTCTCAGGGCTGGCATACCATATGTTTTCCAAATTCAAGATACCAGATAGAGGTCCTTGAAAACTAGAACTGCCGGTATTTTGACTTCCAGGTATTTTAGAACTCTGTTCTGAATCAACCAATTGAATTTGCTTGCTGAATCCTTCATCAAAGCTTGCTGTTCTGATATTACTATTATAAACATCCTCAGCTAAACTTCTGTCCTTTCCACGTGATCTTTGATTCTTTGGGGATACATTTCCGCGCAAGTCTTGGCCACAATCTAGTTTCAGTTGTTTATGTGATAAAAAAGCCTGAAACCTTTTATCATTATCCCTGGATCTTTTCCTTTTCAGATTTGTCTCCGCTGTGATATCTTGATGACTTTTTGAACCCATCCGATTCCCTGCCTGAACTTGAGTGTTTACTGAGCCAATGTATTTAACAGCACCTGATGAAAGCACCACAAAATATGCCGGTTTTAAATGCTGCAAAGCATAACCTTGAGAATGAAAACCATCGACAATTTCCAATATCTGCTTAAACATCAGAAGCCTCTCCAATTTGTTAGACCTGTGATGTTTTTTTGCAAGCAAATCCCTCAAACTAATTCCATCAAGTTGGACATTTGAATCAGCATGCTCAACACCCTCACCAGGTAAGACCATTTCATCAGCTTTTTCAATAGATTTGTGCAGTGATTCAGAAGTTTTCAACTTTTGATCATCAATCCCCACGTCATCTTGGATTTGGGCAACAATTCCAGTATCAGTGTCCATAGCTTGCTGGCTATATGTAACAACTTTACCCTTCAAGGTGCTGTTCATAAGAAACTGTCGAAATCCTGATACACTTAAGACTTTTGTACTATTAACAGTAGAATGGCGTACAAGGACACTCCTTGAAAGATCCTTGCTATCACCTTCAAAATTATTAGGGGCGTTAACATGATTTAAGCTTAACTGAGTGAACTGAAGATTCCCTTTCACCAAAGATTGAGGTAAAAAAGATCCAACAACTTTTCCTCTATCATCTCCTCTCAACAATTCCTTGGGAATTGAATCTGTTCTATATTCACCAGCTAGTCTTGTCAAATTGTGCCACATCCCTTTTCTAATAGAACAGTCTTCCGCACGGCCAGGGCAACCACTATACAGCGTGTTTGGAGAATCAACATTCCTCAATGTTAACTCTTCCATAATTGCTCCAGGAAAGCCGGTCGGATAAAAGGTGGCAGGACGTTCTGAAGCAGCATGTCGCCCTAAATCATTCTGTGAATCTTTACCTGCTAAATTCTCTAGTAACATTGCAGGTGATTGATCGTTCTCTTTCCTTTTATGGTGAGGAGTCTCCGCTGAGTTTACCATAGGCTCATTAACTTCAGCGCTCCCTTCCATATCACCGAACAATGAGAATTTCCACTCACAGATCAGCTAAAGAAATAAAGCGGCTCATCATTGTTGAATGAGCTCCAAAATTTTCCCATCCAAACCCTTGCTCAAATCAAACTAAAATCAAACTCGCATACGTATATCAATCAAAGGTCCCATTTGGATCAATTGAAGTCTCTTACTAAACAACTTCGGAACAATCTGTAACAAAACAAAAATATAAAACAATAAAAAAACTAAAAGTCTACTCTAACCATTCAATCCAAAACAAGAGATATATACATCTATGAGCAGATTAAACCAGGTAGACAAACAAACCCTAGAATTCCACCATAATTCGAAACATTTCAATTGGAAACTCCGCCGCAGACAACAGATCACAATTTGAAAATAACAACAACAAAACAGATAAAAAACCGAAAGAAATGCTCACCGAAAACAGAATTGCAGGCTTTTAATCCCAGCAATCGAAACCGTGAGCAGAGCTTCAACTAAAACCCCAACTTTCCTAAATTGGAAATTTCCAATTCTCCTCTCCGCGCTTCAGAAGACGATAGTCCGTCCAATCAATCCGAACTCGTGGATAGCCTCCCGCATTCCACCGCAGTTAATGAAGTCTTTTAAGACCCATGGACGATAAATATCTGACTCTCGTGGTTCTCCCATACGGCGCCGCGCATGCGGAACTTCGGTGGTTTCTCGAATCTGCCGCTTATTTCCTTGTAACGGTCATCTGGCCGTTCGTTACTGGGCGGCCCGATTTGGTTCTAGGATTTTCAGCGGCCGATAGGCCGCTCCGCTTGCAGTGTGCTGTGCGCGAATCGGTATACATAATGGATGGATGGCACGTAGGGCTTATCAAGCTTGCATATAAAAATCAAAATTTCTATAAATATGAGATGGTAATTTTTTGGTGGAATAAACATAATTTTTCATAAGAAAAAAAAATAAAAAAATTACTTATCCACAATTATAGATTTTTAAAATTTTTTTTTAAGAATATTATTTATTTTATTTAAAGTCAATATGTATACATTCAAATATAATTCACATCCCTTTAACTAAATAATTAAATAAATTCAAAAAATATGAATAATTTAATTATGAAGTTTTGTTTAAAGCAACTTTCTTTTAAAGGGTAAGGGTATATGCGGTCCAAAACTACAAAACTTTACTATTCTTGCGAATAACTTCTAGAGACTCTCAACAATTATTGCTTCAACAAACTAAAACCTTCACAAATTTCAGCATTCATTATAACTCAATGGAGATTCAACGTCTTTTCAAACGAAATCTAAAGAATCTTTTTTTTAGGAGTTATGATAGGAAAAAACTTCTTCCCGTAAGAAGTTATGATGAATAAATTATTTCCTTAGATTAAGGAGATATTTCTTTTCCTATTTTATATTTATTTCATTTGATTATGAATTATTTGTTTTCTTATTTTATGTTCTTTTCTATATCTTCTAATAATTAATATGAATTGATTATTGAAGATATTGGGCGATATATTTTTTCTTTCATATCATTTACTTTTTATTATTTTTTCTATTATAAGATTCTTGTTAGAGTTATTTATTCCCTTATTCATATTAATGAAATAATCAAGTATTCTATTTTATTCTGTGTTATTCTGAAATTTAATATGGTATCAAAGTTTAGTTTAATACTCTTGCCATCAGTCCTCCTTTAAGAATTGTCGGACTCCCTTCCTGTCATCCTCTATGCGGGAGAAGCGCTCATCTTGGTATTTGAAACAACAATTTTCTCCTCTCCTTACAAGTTTTGTCTGCTAGCCGACCTTTCCTGAACCGGGAGTATTGACTCTGTCGGCCTCCAAAAAATCTATAGTTGTCGGTGTCAACCCTGATGCGGAAACACATGACAGACAAAAACTCAAAATTCAATCAAGCCTGAATTTTGAGCTTATTTGTATCTCTCTAGGCCGAAACACATGGTAGACAAAACTCAAAATTCAGTCAAGACACTGCAGAAACTTCAGCAAAAGAAAATCACAATTGTCTACTTCCGTGCAGACTCCTCTACATCATCACATGCAGGAGCTTTCGGTCTACCTACAGACACTGCAGGAACTGCAGTAAAAGCAATCAAAGTTGTCTACTTCCCTGAAACTTCCTGCAGCAGTACTAATAGGAGTTTTTCGTCTACCTACAATACAACCACTACTGTCTACATACCTACAAACTCCCCTGCAGCATTATTTGTAGGAACCTTCCGCCTACCTACAGACACTGCAGTAACTGCAGGCAAAAACAACCGCAGCACATGATAAAAACTTCAAGTTCTGCTTCACAAGATTTTCCTCGCCCATTGTTTGATGTTTTCAAATTCAATTTGAACGTGATTTTCAACCATGTTTCAACTTGAGGGGGAGTGTTAGGAGTTATAATAGGAAATAATTTATTCTTGTAAAAAATTGTGAGAAATAAATTATTTTCATATATTAAGGAGATATTTCCTTTCATGTTTTATATTTATTTCTTTGAATTATGAATTATTTGTTTTCTTATTTTATGTTAGTCCTTATATCTCATAATAATTAATATGAATTGATTGTTATAGATATTAGGTGATATATCTTTCCTTTCATATCATTTTTTTTTTATTTTTCATACTATAAAATTCTTGTAAGGGTTATTTATACCCACGCTCGTATCAATGAAACATAAAAATTGAGTGTTAGGTATGTAAATGTTCCATAACTTCAATCATAGTTAAATAAAGTGGATTTTGAAAGTGCATGAGAAGTTGAGCTCTTACATTTAATTATTAGTGCTTGAGTAGCATATATAAATTTAATATATATATATATATATATATATATTAAGAAGTTGGAGGAAGCATAAAATGTGGGACAGCTTTTGAATATTGCTTAGTCATGATTAGCGGCATAACATAAAAGTAACACATGCTTAAACAAAAGTGATTCATCAACTTTTTTTCACATGATAAAATGATAATTACATGATGATGTGTTGCTTTTATTGTACACATTATTGGTATATATTGTTGAAGTCTGAGTTAGAAAGGTGATATATATTCACAATGTAAGACATTGATTAAATAAAATCAATATGTTCTATATTCTCAAAGAAAGTCTTGGATGTAAATAAAAAAAAAATATATAAATTTTATTAATAATGAAAAGTTCACTGATACAACTGAACTTAACAACTAATCATACCCAATACATATATCTATACGGGAAAAATTAAAATTAGAAAGTCTGCTCAGGTGGAGACGATCCTACTGGTGGAGGAATATAACATATTGTGCAAAAATAATGAGTGAGTTTGACAGACAAACTCAATAAATAATAGTTATTTATTAAAACAAAGATGATTAAGAAAAGAAGGCATGCAGTATAGACAAAAAATAAAGATTATTACTACATGAAAGTATATAACATTTTAAGGCAACAAAAAAGCGATCAACATCAAATATGCATAATATAAGAAAATTAACATGAAATCATTTCCAAGTTTCTTATTATTTAACTTTCATTTATTTACATATAGTTGGTTTTTAACAAACACCTTGAAACCATTAAGATTAAGACAATCCCACGAAAATCTCGCAATTCCTTGTACAGTTGTCACTTTGTGGTTCTGTCGATCTGGCTAACCAAAATACAAAATTTCAAAAGGACTTTACCAACCCACGTATCATCACACAAGCATGTCAAATTATTTTCATTGACATGACTTGTTCAAATTATAATATTTCATGCAGACTTGTGATATGACAAATACAAATTTATACAAGTGCAAAAAATTCATAATTGCATGATTAATTTAAACATGCAGGAATTATTGCAACAATAAATTAATATCATGAGTCATAATTAAAGTATATAACAAGTACAAAATTGAAATAACAAGTATATTACTTGCAATGCTATGGACTAGCTATGAATCTACTACAATTAAGAAAAATTAACACCGCTAACTAAGAAGGGTGTGTTTATCCTTTAATAAAAAAATAGTTGCTTTACTCAAGATGACAATCATGATATTTTTACAAATTCTACTGTTTAATTAGTAACCCTACACCGTTTAGAAAATAAAATATAAATGATTATGCAATTAAATTTATTTATTCATTGCATTACATGCATTCTGATAAAACATACCAAGATTTAATATATGTATGTATATAGAGTAAATCATTATTATTATATTCTTAAAAGTAAAAAAATTATGAACTTAATTAACTTTGATTAATATAATTAAAAATAATGTTTTATTTGTGTTTTATTTTAATATGAAGGACATTATAATTTCTGAATAATTTAAGAGTCGTAATGACCTTAGAATTAAGAGAGCTTAGACGCTTTAGATTTATTTCATCGATACACTCAATTTGACTATAGTTACGTCAAATTTATAGTTCATTTGACCCTCCAACTAATTACCTAAAGCCTCAAAATGTGATTCAATGGCTTGATTTGAACTTGATTGGACTCAGATTAAACCAATTTTGATATCATCCAATTCGTTAGGTCGAGATGATCTGAGTTTGAATTTGAATTTTGAATGTTTTTCATTCGAAAAATGTATCAAGATCTGTGTGAGATGATAAAAAATTATTGATTATGCATCAAGAATCAAGCCAAATGTTTTTTTTTATATATATAAACTGACATGATTCATCAGTTCAACTGAAGGTCCGAGCTGGTCCTATGCAAAAATAGTTTTGAACCCGACAAACCAATCGAATGATTGCTTCATGTTTACTCCATCCATCACAATTCGATTTGCATCATCATAATTAAGAGCGAAAGAATATTAGATGTGGAGCCGGGTTCTAACAGTTCCTGCCTCCTATTCTTTGGAAGAGGAGTGACTTTTGCTTTGGTTGACCCCACCGCCATAAATGCAAGCAAAAGAGAAGAATTCTAAACATTTTTGCTGTCACTGAACTCCTTTAAACGAAGGCTTTACTTCCTTGAGGGTCTTGTTGGGGGTAGCTTGTGCGTGAGGTCTATCCGTGGTCTGCATTTAGTGTAAAAACTCAAACGCAGTTTCGTATAAGCTAGCGAAACACGCGAACCAAATGGTACAGCGGCGTTTTGAAAACTCCGCCTGCACTTATAAGCTGCCTCAAACGGACCCTGAATTTGGTGAGAGAAGGCGATAGTTTTTTCTCTCCATTTGTGCAACGCTTATTCAGTACGTAATCCGCTCCTATGCCCCCCAATAATTTTATGCCACATAATAAACATCATTTTTTAAAATTTTAAAATTTTTAAAGTGGGGCTCGCTTTCATACAACTTTTAAAAGAAGAGTTTTTTTATTGGGTAACCACACACAACTCTGTCTGCGTGCGGTCACCGTATGAAATAATTTTTCCCATTTGTGAGTGTACTTAACAGTTTTGTTCTCCTCATTTTTTCTTTCTTTGGCTTAGAGAGAAATATAGAGATAAGAAAAAGAAACTGTTCTTAGAATAGCCGAAGCGATTGGCGAGTATAAATCCTCGAGCAATAAAATCCTCAGCAACTTCATGGACATAGTCAATTTGACGAACAACAAATATATTTTAATATAATTATTGTGTGTTCTTTTGTGGTGTGAATGTTTTCGTTCTATTTTTCG